CCTAAATTAATTTGAAAACAGAATGTATTCATGCATTAATGTGAATGAAAGTCAGTTTGAATTTTTGTTGAAATTTATATAACAGCGTTCTGTGTCCTGAATTGCTGAATTGTGGGCCACCCTGCAGATTGGCTGTTCCACAGCCCCATATCGAATTCCAATGCGAGAGGAGGAAGGGCGGACAGTGGGAGGGAGGGGAGGCGTACGGAGACCCGATACCTCTCATCATTAATACAGAGAGACATCTCTGCTACGTAGAAGGGCCTCTGCCCGAAACGTTGCCTCCCATATGTTTCCTTTTAAAGGCCACAGTGTTATTTACTAATGCGTCGAGTGTATATTACTTGCGCATCACCGCTTTCGCAGAATCACATAACACGGTAATCGTTAATGCACTGGGGGGGGGGAGGGGGGGGGGTGAGGGGCGGTGCTGTGGGACCCCAACCTCTACCCCTGATAATGGTCAGGGACATCATTATCGGCCATGATCAATCCACTGCTGGATGAAGGCCTCCTCCCAGCTCCAATCCCCCGCCATGGACACCACCCTCCTGGGCGTGTTCCCTCGCACACCAAGCCGTGAATACGGACCGCCGGGCCGTTAGAGATGTTTGACCATACTTCACCATGCTGGTCATTATTGTGGGTTGCTAAAGGTGTGGCGGGGGGGAGGCGTTGCGAGCACAGAACAATTTATCTTCCTGCACTGCCCCTCTCGCCCACAGCGTCGCCCACCACATGTTTCTGTGCACGGCGGTCCACCTACCCAAGCACTTTCTCAACTTGAGCTAAACTCTTTGTATTTAACCCAGGTAAGGCCCACCGAGCTGCAGAGCCTCCTTATTGACAAGCGACCTGGCCATCACAAATGGATAAGCTCGACGAAGTGGACTGTCACGTGGGAATGCACAGCAGCCAAATACTCGCAACGCGTGTTGAGTCTAAATGTGGAAGGGGGGAAAAAGCGGACGACCCGGAGAAAAATCCCACGCGACCGCGGGGAGAGAGAGACACGCAAACTCCTAAATGCACAGCAGCAGGCGTCAGGGTCAGGATCGAACCGACGACCTCCTGTATACCAGGCGAGGTAGTTAACATCTCCTAGTCACCGTGATGATGATGATGAGAGAGACTCAAACTCCAAATATACAACAGGCATCGTCAGTGTAGAGATCGAAGTCAATACCTCCTGTATACCAGGCGAGGTAGTTAACATCTCCTAGCCACCGTGATGATGATGATGATGAGAGAGACTCAAACTCCAAATATACAACAGGTATCGTCAGTGTAGAGATCGAAGTCAATACCTCCTGTATACCAGGCGAGGTAGTTAACATCTCCTAGCCACCGTGATGATGAGAGAGACGCAAACTCCAAATATACAACAGGCATCGTCAGGGTGGGGATCGAACCCAAGACCTCCTGTATACCAAGCGAGGTAGTTAACATCTCTTAGCCACCGTGATGATGATGAGAGAGACGCAAACTCCAAATATACAACAGGCATCGTCAGGGTTGGGATAGAACCCACGACCTCCTGTCTACCAGGCGAGGTAGTTAACATCTCCTAGCCACCGTGATGATGATGAGAGAGACGCAAACTCCAAATATACAACAGGCATCGTCAAGGTTGGGATAGAACCCACGACCTCCTGTCTATCAGGCGAGGTAGTTAACATCTCCTAGCCACCGTGACGCCCAGGCTCGGAAATTCCGCCGAGCTTACGAGGCCTCGAGGGGGAAGCGGGGTGCATTCCGGGTGGCCGCGTGGTTTTATATCGTGAGAAGCGTAATCGTCGACTTTTAATCGCTGGATCGTTACCCCCTCCTCCTCCTCCCCCCCATGTAACCCACCAGGCCGTTTCCACCACCGGCATTTCCTTTGAGAGAAACCCCGCACCCTGCTGATAGCAATCAATGAAGCGAAAACCCGGCTTAGTGTTTGCCTTGTTTAGCAGCGCTGCTGCTGCTGCTATGTACTGATTCGTCACGCCGTACCGGCTGATGGGATCAATGTTATTTCATTACTCTGGATTATGGCGAGTCATTTATGCCACCCTCGATATGGCGGATTCGTGGGCAGCAGCTCCAGAGGGGAGTTCAGACAAATCCGTTGTTGTGGCTGGACTCATTCGACGTTACACAACTTCGCTAGGGCCGCACTGACCGGCACTGTGAAGTTTGGTCAAATAAAAACCCCCCGTGACACCACAATGCGCGTGGCGTAGGGGGGCCCTCGTCGACACTTTACGTGGCCTAAGTGTGCACCTAGCCTGGCACAAGCATTGTGGTGACGTCTCCGTCACTCTTGGTATATACTTTGTGTGTGTGTCTATGCATGCAACTCATTATGCATGCACGGGTACGGTATAGTATGTCTGCGTACACCACCGTTGCACACCTCCGTCAATTGCAGAAGAAAATAAACAAGATAGTTAACTCTGTTAATCAATCACTGCCGTAGCTACGGCAACGCTAGATGACAAAAAAGGTTTTAAAATCAGATAAATAAAAAATCTAACAATCATAAATCCCCCCCCCCCATCTTCTCAAACAGTGTAGATAGCTCCCCTCTGCCCCTCTCAACCTCCCTGCCCCTCTGACCCCCTCCACCTCCCTGCCCCCCTGCCCCCCATTATTCGCGGGTGTGCGTTAAGCTCATGAAAGTGCGATCACAGTCAGCAGTTGGCAGAGGGCACACCACGCGCACAATTTGAACGAACAATTTATGAATGAATTAATAGAGAGAGAGAATTAGTGGGTGTGTGAATATGTGACAGAGTGAGTGAATGAACGAGTTAAGGTGAGTGGATGTGTGGGTGAGTGCGTGAATGCGTGAGGGGGGGGGGGGGGTGAGTGAATAGGTGAGAAAGTCCTCAAACCACGTCGAACAAATCCATATTTCTGAGTTTGTGAATTAATAATGAGCAAATGAGTGGCTGGGTGGGTGAGTGAATATGTGAGTGAGTGAATGGATGAATGCGTGAGTGGGTCGGCTGGTGGGTGAGTGAGTGGTTGGGTAGTTGAGAGGACAGGGGAAGGGGTGGGCGACTACATTAATGGGTATGTAGTTGGGTGGATGGGTGAGTGAATAGGTGAGTGGGTGAGTGAATAGATGGATGGATGGGTGAGTTAATAAATGTGATGTTGGGTGTGTGGTTGGATGAACGGGTGACTGAATAGGTTTGATGGGCGAGTGAGTGGGTGGATGTTTAGGTGGGTGGGTGGATAAGTAAGTGGGTGGGTGGATAAGTGGGTGGGTGGAGGAGTGGCTAGATCAGCGAATAGGTGAGAAATTGAGCGGGTGAGTAGTTGAGTGAGTGCAAAAGCGAGTCGGCTCAAGTTATTGAACAATGGCATATTTACGAGTGGGTAAATTAACAATGCATGTCCTCGTTCTCTACACTATTGATGTTTTCGTATTTGGTTGTTGTTGTGCTCACACATCACTGATCGTAAATGACTAAACGGGATTATCCGTTTACGAAATCAAGTAAACTTGAATACATGCGATGGCTGGCTGGGTGAGTGAAAGAGTCTTGTGAGTGAATGCGCTGATGAATGCGCGAGCGAGCGAGCGAGTAGGTGGGGCGGACGAGTGAGTAGACGATCAGTGAGCGAGCGGGCGGGCGGGCGGGCGGGTGGATGTGTGGATGTTTTTGGTGGCTAAGTTGGGTGAGAGTGCGAGAGTGACCGTCGGTTGAGGTCGAGTTTACGTGGCCCCCCCGAGCCACTAGAGGGCGCGACACCCACCACAATGTTTAATCGACGATTGAATCGACTCGAAATGTAGGGTGGTGGGGGGGCGTCGTAAGAACGAGAGAGAGGTCAACCACCTTGGAGATGGAGCGATGGAATCGGCAGAGTGCGCGCCACGGATTGTTCTCATCGTAGAAGGCCGCGATAAACGGCGTCGACATGGAAGGTGGATACACGTTCATTCAGCAGTTGGGTAGATCATCGCTGACGATGACGATTCCAGACAGTGCACATATTCACTCGGCCACTCACACATTCATCCATCCCCCAATGCCCCCGTGCTGCCACCCCCGGCCATGCCCCCGTGCCCCAATGCCCCCCCCCGTGCCCCCAATGCCCTCCCCCGTGCCCCCAATGCCCTCCCCCGTGCCCTTTGCGCGACTTCTCGCATCCTTACTGATCACGTGGCGTCTCTCAGCACAGATGTGCGCGGAGCTGATGTTGTGACGTCGGCAAAAAAAAACATCTGGCGGACGTTTGGTGGGGGGCCTTGGGGGTCATTGGGGGTGGCGGAGGGGTGATTTGAGGGTGCTGATGGAAGGGGGGGGGGCATGACGAGGGTGATGGGGGTGGTTAGGGTGCGGTGGGTGTGCGGACATACGTGTAAGGATCAGGCTTGCGGGTCGAGAGAGGATGGGCGTGCGAGTGAGTGAAGGATGGAGTGAGGGGGGGGGGAGGGAGAGAGGGAGGGATGAAAGCGAATAGGAGGGAGGGAATGATGCGGCGGGTAAGGGTGGAAGCAGCAGACGGCGGAGGGAAGGAGTAGGATGGCGAGTGAGGATGGAAGGAGGGAGCAAGAGATGGAGGATGATGATGGTGGTAGGGACAGAGAGACGAGGAGGGCGCTGGTGGGATGAAATAATCGAGTGAGAACGAGAGATGGACGGGGGGGGGGGTCGAGTTTGAGAAGGAGGCGTGGAGGGAGGGAGATACGAAATAGGCAGTGGGGACGAATGGAGGGATTGAAGGATAACAGTGGGAGGGAAGAATGGAAGGGGGGTGGGGGGGGGGATCAAAGGAGAGAGGATGCATGGAGGGATGCCGGCAGTAGGAAGGACGAAGAGGAAGGGAGGAGAGTGGGAGAGAGAATAGCGGGAAGATGAAGAGAGAGGGGGGGGGGAGAAGGGACACAGGGTGGGAGGACACGGGGAGTCTGGGCTGTGCGGGGAGAGGGAGGGGAGAGGGGGAGAGAGCCGCGCGCGTGGATTCTCTCTCATTCTCTCCCCTCCCATCGCTCAGTCTCTTCCTCCTTATCTCGCGCGCGCCGCTCTCTCGCGTCTCGCCGTCTTGTTTACGCGTGCGAGCTACGCGCTCACCGCCGCCACCACCACCGCCACCACCACCGCCATCGCCGCCACCACCACCACCACCATCGCCACCACAATCATCACCAACGTCGCCACCACAATCGAGCCACTGCTGCTGCTTCATTCATTCAGCTCCAGAGCGGCCGCGACTGACGGCGAGCAAGCGACTGTAGCGCTGTCGCTGCTGTGAAACCTCTTTCACCTCCGCCTCATCCCCAACATCATCATCGTCATCACCATCACTATTTCGCGAATCGCTGTCATCTCCCCGACCGCTCTGTAAGCAGAGCGCAGCCTCGACTCGACATTTTTATCAGCGACTGATCAACACAGCAGCAGCAGCAACAGCGAGCCATTCTCATCTGCCTCCTCCTCATCATCATTATCGGCATCGGTTGACCAGTTCACCAAGACGAGGAATAATCTGTCCACTCAACCGACGACCTTAACCACCCATCCACTCACTTTAACTACCATCCACTCAACCACTCACCATCCATCCATTTGCCCAGCCACCTACCCAACCACTCAATCATTTATACACCTAAACAAACAGCCAACCATCCACCCACCCACTCAACCACCCACTCAACCACCCACTCAACCATCCACTCAACCACCCACCCACACACTCAACCTACCACCCACCCACTCAACCATCCACCCACCCACTCAACCATCCACCCACCCACTCAACCATCCACCCACCCACTCAACCATCCACCCACCACTCAACCATCCACCCACCCACTCAACCATCCACTCAACCATTCACTCACCCACCCAACCCTCCCCCTACCCACCAAACCCCCTACCCACCGAACCATCATATCTTCACCCACCCATTCATTCATCCGCGAACGGTGGCTGTTACCGGTTAGACCGGACGCGGCGGTCAAAAACACCGGCGCGGCGCCTCTCTCCGCACTCAGCCCCCCCCCTCCTCCTCCCCCAACGCATTTGCTTCCCAGCGGCCCCCACTGAGTAATCTCGGGGCTCCCAGCCAGAGACCCTCCTGCTGCTGCTGCTGCTCAGGGACCCCCCCCCCCACAAGCCGGCTCGGGGACGCGGCGAGAGGAGAGGACATGCCGCGCGGGACGACGCCATGAGACTCAGGAATGGAACGGTGGCAACGTTCCTGGTCCTGGCGACCTTCGTGTCGGTGTCTCTCTACACGACGTGGCAGACGCAGAAAGGTGAGAGTCGCCGGCGGGGATGTGGTGGCTTGGTGGACGGGAGCGTGGTGGGCTGCCGACGATCTGCGCCGTGCGAGCAAAGCCGCGTGGGTCGCAAACTCGGACGCGCTTCGTGACGATGCGGCCAGATGTTGAAAGCAAAATGATGCGACGACGACGATATCGACGCCGCCGCCGCCGCCGCTGCTGCTGCTGGCAGTGGCGCCCAAACACGACTGACAAGAAATGATTAACGGCAAACAATCGACGGCAAACTCAACACGTTCGTCAATAACTAAACCGTGCGCAGTGGCCCTGACGTTAAAAAAAAATGTATATTTAATAGGCGACGTCTCGTGTCAATGACGGACCTTCTTCAAAGCGCACGTAGAGATATATGCCATGCGGAGAGAGTGGATAATGCAACTTAGAGACTGAACCGTGAGTCCCTGACGAGAGCGCTCCTGATGCTATTTGGTTCTTTCGGTAAAGTCACGTGGGTATAAAGAACCAAAGAGTATGGATTCCTGCAGTCACGGACGCTTCAAATCAATAATGGTTCCCTTATGAGTAGCTGTATGCTCACCTGTATGCTCACCTGTATGCTCACCTGTATGCTCACCTGTATGCTCACCTGTATGCTCACCTTCCGGGATATCCACTCGCCGTACCAGTTAACCGCTCACCTCGTCGTCTGCCTACTCACTCGCAACCCGCCAATCAAATCGTCGACCGCATCAACTATCTCTCAAATGGGCCATCCACTCAATTCGCCTAATCACCTACCGACTCGCCTAATCACCTACCCACACACTCGGCCACATGCCAACACAAAACCGCTGCGCTATCCATCAATGCACCCACATACCCGCTCGCTCACTCACTCATCCACCTATGCGTTAAACACGCAGCCTATTTACCGAGCCATGCAAGCACCCAGCCACATTCAAAACCGCTTACCCACTCGTCCACCTTACACAGTCCACCTACAACCATCTCAGATTGTAAAATGTTGTGGCTTTTCTCTCCAACGCACCGGTGTTGCTGTCCTAGCAACGAATTGGCACGTTCCGTGTACGTGACAAACCTTACTAATTGGCAGTCGCGGGTGGTGGTGGGTTTAACGACAAGTGTATATATTTACGCGATCTAACCCCCCAAAAAAAACCTATACTATGGATGACATTGGTCGCGAAAGCCTACGGGTTAAACTCGCCTACAACCACTAACACGCCAATCGCACTTCCCACTCACGCACTCTTTATCACAGCTCCCCACCACACATACTGTAACCGCTCACCTGCTCCGAACACACGCACGCACACAACCACACTCACCCGCCACACTAAACAGAGTGATAACGATCACCCATACAGCATTTTTTGGCAGTACTGTACTGCGAGGGAGCATCTATTTTCAGGCTTGTAACGGCGCACGAGGTGGTATTTGTGAAGGGGAGTACGCCTGACCGCCTTTGTCTCCCCAACCAGCGCGCGTGTTCACACACTGCACCAGGTATTAATGTTTCGGCCGAGTCGACCTAGGGGACGCCCACGGACCGGTTCAGACATCAATTGTCACCTGATGATAGTCGTGGCCGGGAATCGAGCTCTGGGTAGGCGGATTCGTAGCACAAACACACACCGCACTCACCCCCCACGTGTCCCACCCCCCACGTGTCCGTACATCACCACCGACGCAGCGAACATCCAGGTTCGAATCCATGCCACGGGCTTGCGCGCTGTGTCCCTTGGTCCGCTGTGCGGTGCGTGGTGGGGTGATTTGCAACGCCGCGCGATAGAGTTGGAATGGAGTTGTTCGCTTAAGGGGGTTTCTCTCTCTCTCCCATTGTGTACGTGCGCGCGTCTGTGTCCGGGGGAGCGGTGGCGCAGCAGTTATCGCACTGCAATGCGAACCCGGCGACCCGTTTTTTGATTCCCGCACACGGCTAACACCAGTGACGATTATCTGAACTGGTTCTCGGCCTATACTCTTTGGTTCTTTCGGTAAAGTCACGTAGGTGAAAATTATTTTTATTTTATTTTTATTTTCACCTACGTGACTTTACCGAAAGAACCAAAGAGTATGGATCCTTGCAGTCACGAAAACTTGAAATCTAGAATGGTTCTGGGCCTCTCCTCGGTCGACTCGGCCTTAAATGAGTACCTGGTGCGGTGTGTAAACGATATCAGCAGGCTGCCGGGCGTGGTGCTAGTCGCCCACCTCCTCGTCTGCCGTGCCGACCTTCATAGGTGCCACTCGCTTAACAGCACGTGCTCCAATAGTCTGCTAAGGCGCTTTCAGATGCGCTTCTGCAAGCCGTCTGGAACGCTCCTTATGCCGATGTTACGAAGCCACTGGAGCTTTGCGCTTTAAACGCATCCAGATTGAACAATAATTTATTTAGAATCGTTTTGTGTGTGTGTGTTAGTTTGTTGTCCTTCCCCCGCACCTGCCATTCGCCACGGTAGGCCGCTACGCACGTTACGAAATAGTTCATCGTACCTACGGGGCGGCCCCAATCTTTGTGTTGTCTTGTGACTGTTTCTTTAAATTGCCGGCACTTTGGCCTTTTTTATTGGGGAAGCTCCGAGCAACGAGTACAGATCCGATACAACAAACTCAAACAAACCAACAGCCAAAATTAGCCTCGCGCACTGCGGAGGTGTCGTATCGGTTGCCGTGGGTCGTATCGGTTGCCGCAATGGACTTTTAAAAAGTGTCACGAGCTTATCCATCGCATCTGACTTGGATTTTACGGCGAGCCAGTTGGATTTTTTTTTAAATGCCCCCCACCCCACAGCGCTTGTGCCAGGCTAGGTGCACGTGAAGTGTCGAAAGCTCGGCAGCAGGTTATGAGACAGACCCAGGTGGTTATGGGTCGACTGAGATGACCGGCAGATGCGCCAGCTGTGCTTACCATCGTGCCACCTGGCGACGTTATAGCACACGCCAGGTGTAGGTGGCAGCTCGTACGTCAGTGCAGTGGGTGATACACCGAAGTTACGAAGCCCGGCGAACCGAGTTCGATTCCCGGCCACGGCTAACGTCGGTGGCGATTCACTAAAACCGGGCTTCCCCGAAGTCCGAGCTTCCCCTAGATGGACTCGGCCTTAAATGAGCAATTTATGCAGTGTGTAAACATCAGTATGTACGGGGGAGACAAAGGCGGCCGGGGCGTGGTGCTGAACATGCACCACCCCCAGCTCGTGTGCCGTGTCGGCTGTTTTAAAGGCGCTCGCGAACATCGCTTGTCCCAACAGCTTGTGGAGACTACGTGGGGCCGGCGTCTTTGTCTTTGTCTCGTATCACTTATGTATGTTGAACTTCTTTCGCACCGTACGTCGCCAACCCTGGTAATCGGAGGTGTGGGGGAAGGAGCGGAAACTAAACGAAAAAAACAAGTTCTAAAGAAATGTGTTTGTCAATCTGGATGATGATTTAAAAGTGCATAGCTCCCAATGGCTTCCTAATGTCGGAGGGAAGAGCGTTCCAGACGGCCGCAGAAGTGCGTCTGAAAAGATCGTGATGCAGCCTTAACAGACTGTTTAGGGGCAAGTGCTGTTAGCGAGTAGCACCTAACGAAGGCCGGCACGGCACAACAGAAACCGCAGAACTTTTCAAATAACGTTGTTGACACTTCTCTCATTCCATCTCCAAACACAGCCCATGCAGGTGTGAAACTTAAGCCAGCTATGCAAAGATCAGTGCTGCGTTTCTGTTGGGTAAATCCAGAGCTATAGGTGACGAGACTCACACTCCCAACACAGCCCCATACAAAAGTAAAGGCGCACCCCTCCATGTAGCCAACACCGGCTGTTGGGGCAAGTGCTGTTAGCGAGCGCCACACCTTCTTGCTCGCATGCTGTACAAAGTGTAATGTCGGATGTCGTCACTAGACATGATTATCGGCTTCGTTGTTGAGAATTTCAGTAACCAAATTGATAAGCCGATGATACGCCCTCACCCCTTCATATACCTGTCCACATAAAACAACGATGTTCTTAACGCAACCCATCGACTCCACAACTCTCATTCTGGAAACAAATAACTTGAGCAGAAATGACTCTATAAAGTAAACTGAACAAATATTATTTTACCAGGTGAGGCCCACTGCCCTACGTAGCTGTTTTTCGGAAGTGACCTGGCCACAATTGATAGCTCAGCGAAGTGGCTTATCACGCGGAAATGTATAACAGCCAAATACTCTAAACGCACGTTGATTCTAAATGTGGAGGGAAAAACCAGAGGACCCTGAGAAAAACAACGTGGCCACGGGGAGAGAAACACCGCAAACTTCAAATATACAGGTGTATGTATTTGGGATCGAACCCACGCCATCCTGTGCACCAGTCGAGGTAGTTAATAACTCGCCACCGCAGCGCCCAAGCAAAACCCTGTGCCGGTTTCCACATACATGCCACCCGAGGTCACCCCAGCCTTCAATGAGTACTTGGCGGCTGGGAGGCAGGTCGTGTTGGCTACACAACCCCTCGTGAGCCGTTCGGGCCTTCGTGTACATCGCTAACAGCAATTGCCATGACAGTCTGTTAAGGCTGTACGGGGGGGGGATTTTTGTATTTTTTTGTGCGTGTCAATTTTGTGCTTGTGAGGTGGGTGTGAGTTTTTTTCTTTCTTCCGAGGTTGTATACGTGCGAGTACGGTACGGTGTGTGTGTGTTAGTGCAAGTTTGTCGTCGTGTGGGTGGAGAGATTATGAAGGAGATGGGAAAGCATGAAACAGGGAACACGTGTACATCGCTAGACATCATATTTGCTTTTGTGAAAAACACGCCACGGTGGCGAGGGATGATGTCTTTGTACGTTGACCGTCTGTGGCACCGCATGTAGCCAACCCTGCTAATGGGAGGTGCGGTGGAATGACAACAAACTAAACACAAAAAGCAGGTCTAAAGAAAATAGTTTTCAATCTGAATTATTAAAAAGTGCACAGCTACAGTGGCTTCCTAAAATCGGAAGAAAGAGCATTCCAGACGGCCCTCGAAGCGCATCTGCAATCAC